GATTTAAACGAATTTATGGCTTATTTAGAGTATATTTAGCCAAGTTTTGGATGAAAAAATTTTCGGTCAAAAATCAGATATTTTGTTAAGGTTATAGCCTTGCCTTTTTTACGAAAATCCTTCTCTAAGAAAACTGTTATTTTAGAGCAAAAAACCACTTGAAATAGAGTCATGAGTTGATTTAAACGAATTTATGGCTGATTTAGAGTATATTTAGCCAAATTTTGGATGAAAAAATTTTCGGCCAAAAATCGGATATTTTGGTAAGGTTATAGCCTTGTCTTTTTTACGAAAATCCTTCTCTAAGAAAACTGTTTTTTTAGAGCAAAAAACAACCTAAAATAGGGTCATGAGTGGATTTAAACGAATTTATGGCTTATTTAGATTATATTTAGCCAAGTTTTGGATGAAAAAATTTTCGATCAAAAATCGGATATTTTGGTAAGGTTATAGCCTTGCCTTTTTCACGAAAATCCTTTTCTAAGGAAACTGCTATTTTAGAGCAAAAAACAACCTAAAATAGAGTCATGAGTAGATTTAAACGAATTTATGGCTTATTTAGATTATATTTAGCCAAGTTTTGGATGAAAAAATTTTCGATCAAAAATCGGATATTTTGGTTAGGTTATAGCCTTGCCTTTTTCACGAAAATCCTCCTCTAAGAAAACTGCTATTTTGGAGCCAAAAATAACCTGAAATAGAGTCATGAGTGGATTTAAAGGAATTTATGGATTTTTTAGAGTATATTTAGCCAAATTTTGGATGAAAAAATTTTCGGCCAAAAATCGGATATTTTGGTAAGGTTATAGCCTATTCTTTTTCACGAAAATCCTTCTCTAAGAAAACTGTTATTTTGGAGCAAAAAACAACCTAAAATAGGGTCATGAGTGGATTCAAACGAATTTATAGCTTATTTAGAGTATATTTAGCCAAGTTTTGGATGAAAAAATTTTCGATCAAAAATCGGATACTTTGGTAAGGTTATAGCCTTGCCTTTTTACGAAAATCCTTCTCTAAGAAAACTGTTTTTTTAGAGCAAAAAACAACCTAAAATAGGGTCATGAGTGGATTCAAACGAATTTATGGCTTATTTAGAGTATATTTAGCCAAATTTTGGATGAAAAAATTTTCTTCAAAAATCGGATATTTTGGTAAGGTTATAGCCTTGCCTTTTTCACGAAAATCCTTCTCTAAGGAAACTGCTATTTTAGAGTGGAAAACAACCTAAAATAGAGTCATGAGTGGATTTAAATGAATTTATGGCTTATTTAGAGTAGATTTAGCCAAGTTTTGGATGAAAAAATTTTCGATCAAAAATCGGATATTTTGGTAAGGTTATAGCCTTGCCTTTTTCACGAAAATCCTTTTCTAAGGAAACTGCTATTTTAGAGCAAAAAGCAACCTAAAATAGAGTCATGAGTAGATTTAAACGAATTTATGGCTTATTTAGATTATATTTAGCCAAGTTTTGGATGAAAAAATTTTCGATCAAAAATCGGATATTTTGGTTAGGTTATAGCCTTGCCTTTTTCACGAAAATCCTTCTCTAAGAAAACTGCTATTTTGGAGCCAAAAATAACCTGAAATAGAGTCATGAGTGGATTTGAAGGAATTTATGGATTTTTTAGAGTATATTTAGCCAAATTTTGGATGAAAAAATTTTCGGCCAAAAATCGGATATTTTGGTAAGGTTATAGCCTTGTCTTTTTCACGAAAATCCTTCTCTAAGAAAACTGTTATTTTAGAGCAAAAAACAACCTAAAATAGAGTCATGAGTAGATTTAAACGAATTTATGGCTTATTTAGATTATATTTAGCCAAGTTTTGGATGAAAAAATTTTCGATCAAAAATCGGATACTTTGGTAAGGTTATAGCCTTGCCTTTTTACGAAAATCCTTCTCTAAGAAAACTGTTTTTTTAGAGCAAAAAACAACCTAAAATAGGGTCATGAGTGGATTCAAACGAATTTATGGCTTATTTAGAGTATATTTAGCCAAATTTTGGATGAAAAAATTTTCTTCAAAAATCGGATATTTTGGTAAGGTTATAGCCTTGCCATTTTTACGAAAATCCTTCTCTAAGAAAACTGTTATTTTAGAGCAAACAACAACCTTAAATAGAGTCATGAGAGGATTTAAACGAATTAATGGCTTATTTAGAGTATATTTAGCCAAGTTTTGGAAGGAAAGATTTTGTTAGTTTTTGCGTAAATTATTCTCTCTAGGACTTGAAATACGGTCTAAAGTTGATCGAAATCATTTTGGGTGAAAATGATTTTAAGTAAGAAACTAAGAATAAATGCCTTTGGGATACACCAGGAATAATCTAATGATGCGTAGATGATTTTTTAGTTGAAGGTTTGTCAATTTCTAGTTAAATTTTAATACTACAGCCATTGGAAAATAGTCTAAATTTAGAAAATGGCTGGAAATTTGGAAATTTAAGATAATTTAAACGTTTTGGAATTCAAAAATGCTTGAATTAATTAAGAAAAGAATAAAATCTTTAATTATATTGAAAGTAGTAAAAAGGGCTATTTCGAAGTTGTTTTACAAGAAACAATATGTAGAGCATCATGGTCATGAAGTCTCTTCTATGTCCCTCTGAAAATTTGCCAAAAATAAATGAAGTCGTGTAAAAAATGACTTGTTAAAAACTGTAGAAACAGGAAAATACTTTTTTAATGCATGAAAAGAACAGTCGAGAACGTGGTTGAGATGCCTTATTGATATTCTCTTGTTTGAAAAATTTTAATGGATTGTTTGAAATGAAGGGCACATGTTGTTGGCCAAAGTTTAGATGATTTTAACTGATTGCTGATTGCATAGGAAATTAAAGAAAGAAATAAAAACAGATGTTAAACGTTAAACAATTAAAATTAGCTGTTTCTACATTCACATCTACATCGATACTGAGCAGGACCGAGTATCGGTATAATGCTCAGAGTGCAAGAAATAATGAAATGAAAGTTTAATGGATAAAACGTGCTAGAAGATGCCACTGATCAATGATTAGATTGAACATTTACATGTCAAACGAGAAGCTGTAATTTTGTTTGTCGGCAAGACTGAATCAAAAAGGGACTGAAAATTTGTCACAATAAGGTAGTAAACTACCAAATCTCGGACATTAATTTTCAAACAAGTTAGCCTTCTTAGTGTGCTGCAAAGTTCTTAGTTTCCAAACAAGTTAGCCTTCTTAGTGTGCTGCAAAGTTCTTAGTTTCAAACAAGTTAGCCTTCTTAGTGTGCTGCAAAGTTCTTAGTTTCAAACAAGTTAGCCTTCTTAGTGTGCTGCAAAGTTCTTAGTTTCAAACGAGTAAGCCTTC